TTTCAAATCAATGTTTATCTCTTTGAGAGCGACAGTTCTTTCTCAAGAAATGTTACAGACTTGATCCATGTGTGAACTCATCAGATAATATGCTGATTACCTGAACTATTAAGGGACAATCCATAATGATCGGTAATTATAGATAATCTTCATCGCACAAATATCCTAAATACAAATATTCATGCAATTTATATCATTAAATAACTAAAACACCATGTTTTTCAAAGATATTCAGCGCGCAAAATCTCAGGACGAACATGTTCGTCGCCCGGACCCAACGGGTTAATAAAAGTAGGAAACACATTTCTGTGGATGTATTCGCATTTCATTGATATCACTGATTTTTCAAATGTTGTATATAATGCTTTATAAGAGAGAAATAAAAAGATGAAATAACTTTTGAAGAAAGTGTTATTACACTCAAAGTCGTTTGTGTTTTTTACTACGACAATGGGTGGTATCTATGGCTAAAAGTTCATTGAAATTCAGGGATATTACCTTGAGAGATTCTCTCATGAGATGAAAACTTATGTCATCTACAAATTACAGTCACGTTATTAACAGTTAAAGCAAAATTTTGATTAAAATACTTTAACTTATATACTGGTTCTCATTATTCAAATCGTAAAATACAAAATTTGTAACAAATTAAATTTTTCTTATGAAAATGAAAAAACTTTTCAACTTCAAAATTAATCGAAAAATTTTAATGTCATAATACTTGAACCTAATTTTTTACGTTCGTAAAGGAGACGTGGCCAGATAGAAATCGCGAGCATGTAATTAACTGGAACCAGAACCTGAAAAAATCTGATTCGATAACAGCTAGATAGCAAAAATAGTCTCTTTTGATTGTTTATCTTTGCCTAGGCAACAAGGCCACAAACTTATTCTGTTTCGTATGACCCTTTCTTCAATGGAAGGGATGATAGATTGAACTATAATCAATATAGAAAGAGTTTGATGTCGCAGGCTAACATACAGCGAGGTTTTATTAATTATTAAATATGCTTCACTTAATCTCTGTGTAATACAGCTTTTCTCTATTCATCACAATTATGCTAATTGTATTTATAACAATGGATCATTCCTATGTGACACAATTCTTTTATTCCGTACTCTCTTTAACTTTCTTATTTTTCTATAGTGATGTGAGATAAATATTAGCACTAAAACCTGGTAGTTATTAACTATTAATGCTCAAAATATTATATTAGCGGTATATGGGTGCCAGATCTGGTGGTCCTCATACCCACACACATACTCACACTCTGACACCCACAACGGAGGTTTTTAACGTTGTTTTGACATCAGTTATTGTAAACAAAGGCTGTCGATTATGAGTATACTCGTTTATAATTTAAGAAACTGTAGTTCTTGTTCTGTATTGGAAATTTGTTCTTTTTCTTCGATAAGTTTTGGATAGTTGGTTGGAAGTTTTGTCGCTTTGGATGTGCACAAATCAATTGAAAACAGATCGATTTATACGCTTTTCATACACATCAATCTTCTACTCTAAACTCTCACCTCTCAGCAATCGATCAAGTGAAACAATAGAATTAAAATAATAAAAGAACGCAGAGTTAATTTCATTGATGCGTTTCGTATTATTTATTAATATATTGAAATACTCATCAGGACTCAGCATTGCAAATAAAATACAAACAACAAGAGCAAAGAGAGAAAAAACAAAATTAAAAATGAAATGTTTTTTGGAAGGCAAAACGTATGTTTTCAAAAAGAAGAAAGAAGGGGCAGGAGTGGCTCCAGGATTTTAGAGATGTGATGACGGTTTCTAAATTATATCATCCGAGGTAGTATGAATTTTTATTGAAGTAAATAAAGTCGTATGTTCATTCTCTTAAAATTCTTTATTCCGTTTTTATGTAATAAATCTATCAATTCATGAGCAGAAACAACTTTTTTTGAGACAAATTTTAGCAGTAAAATCTAAAAACCAATCGACGGTTAGATTTTCTAAATTCATCAATCACAGTATCAACAATTCCATCTAAATCTAGATAAATATACATCATAGCTAATCCATAGAGTCTTGTTTCCAACATGGTCGAACGTTAATAAGTCTTCAGTAATTTGAAGATAGAGAATGTTCGTTCTATAGTTGCTGTTATCACTGGTAGAGTTGCAAAGATTTTCAATAAAACTTTCATGTCTGCGTAAAACGCTTCAGAACAAGCAGGATAGGCAACAGTTATTGTATCTGGCAAAAATATGTGTTCTTTAAGTTTCATTTTGATTGTAGTTGTATTGCTAGTTGAAGGAGGTGACAATGTAGTGAAACTAGTTTCTGCGACAATTTTTCTGTTCATCTTTTTTTCATAACATAAATTCAGATTTGATTTAAGAAACTGAATGAGGTAAAAATTTTTGATAAATTTCAATTGCTGAAGCTAAATCATCATAATTTTTGTCAGCAATATATTGTGGAAATTATTATATATTTATGTCATATTGTAATTGTGTTATCCTTCTATCTTCTCTGCTACCTTTAAGTGTAAACTTGTGCATACATAGTTTATTTTGTGCCTTCCTATAGTCATTTCCTGATGATGACAATCGATAATTGACGAAAGTTCGAAATAAAAATAATAATTTTCATTGAAAATTTATAATACTTTTCCTTGCAGTACTTTACTCAATAATAAATTATATTTTTCCAAAGACATCCAAATGTTACATTAAAGAAGACGGTCCTAAAAATTTAATTTCCTTAGCATATTCTTTTGCATATTTCGATTAGCATGTACGGGAGAGATTAGATCTTTCTAAGAAAGTGTTCAAAACATCTGGTAAAACAATTAAATTACTCTCTTATAATTGAGATTTTATCTTGGTTTTACTTTGAACATTGTAAACTTTTATTTGTTATGGCTTAATTTTGAAGTATTTTTGAATAAAGCGTCGACAAATAGTAGTTATGACTAATCCCGTTCTTGTACCTGCCGCTATTACCCGTCCGAGCGGTTTATTGAACATTTCAAACCGTATTTTAACGGCTAAAGCTGACATTTGGTTAGTTTCACTATTGCAAGGTATAATTTTTTTAGTTGAAACATTACAGAAACATTTTAAAAATTTTCGCCATCATTTCGATTCTCAGGGGAGTGGTAGTCGCCGGATCACCAAAATGATGGATTCCTCACTGGAAAGGGGCTATGTTATAGGCTATATCCAGTTTGAATCACCGATATTTGATTGAAATGATTCATGCCGAAATATTTTTAAAAAAAGTGTTTATTTGAAGTATTACGTAATATGTTAATTAAATGTACATTTATCAATTTCACTGAATTTCTGAATTTAAATAAATAGTTTTAAATGAATACTATCATAATTTTTAATTCAGTAACTCTAAAATATTATTATCCATAAAACAAGGTTCAAATCATTTTATTCACTTACGCATAAGTGAGTGTGGATGTTGTTGAAGAATACACCCGCGCCACCCACACCCATGCCTCACACCTACACCAATATCCACGTCCATGTAGTCATAGCTATGCTCACATCCCCGTGCGTGTTCTTATGTTTTTACTCGTTTCTTTTTCCAGTGATTCTGCTGTGAACAGGTCATATTCACTCGAGAAAAGTCTATCACTACAAGTTTATGTCACATATACTGAAGAAACTTAAAAAGTTGTATTGGCATGCATGTGTTTGCGATATGCACCTCTATGCATGGATTGTTGACCTACATTTATACGTAAAAGTTGCAAATATTTCAAATGTTGTGCGAGCTCGCGCATGAAATCAGATTAATTAAAAACTATTTGCAAGTAAATGCATGTTTTAAAAAAATTTCTTGTAAATACATGCGTTTTTTTACACTTTTGTGTTTGACTGGGCACTGCTACTCTGTTATTTTAGTCTTTATCTTCCTGTACAAAAAATTGGTTATCCTTCTCATAAATGAAGTTCTATGCATTGAAATTTAAAATGCTTTCCATTGAATTTATTGACATATTTTCGCATTTATCCTTAGATACAATGTAATAATTTCTTTTTTCTCAAGAATCTAGATGTATCTACTTAATATTCGAAAGTTTTTCTATCGGCTGGACCCACACCCACACCCTCATAGAAGAGTTTTTTAAGATTTCGTACAGTTGTAGAACTTTTTTAGAGTGTGAATGTTCTTCGTGCTGAACTTTCGCGTGCTTAAATCTCACCAATTTCTACAGTTTAGAGCATGATTGAATCTCAGAGATATGTTGCATCACTAATCATGAAAATTGTCGAATAATGGATTATCAACACAACAAGCTGTCGAGCATGGTCATTCCAATTGAGATGGAAGCACAAAGCAGCATCTATTCAAAGAACAATACATGCTGAATCTAAGATTATTAAAGATATAGTCACAATTAATTGATACAGGCAATACAGTCACACATTCATTCTCTCATCGAAAGTACTTACTGCTACTCAGAATGTGTTAATTTTCATTTCTTTTTTTTTCTGATTATTGAATTTTGTTTGTCGTTCGGTTGTTTTTTAACGAATTGAATTTATTCTCTTCGACTTCATGATGATTGGTGATAAAGTGTATAATAAGACTTGAATTAATTCACTATATTTGATCAGTTCTCTCCGTGGAACATATACAATTGCTTTGGAAGTTATTGTACATAAATTCATCATTCAATGCATCGAATTATAACTTGATTAAAGCAATTCGTTCTCGTGAATAATCGAAAGCGAAAGAGAACTGCACAAAAATAATCAAAAATCGAAAATTACAATGCATTTCTCATCATTTCTTTTCTATTTCGCGCTTTACAATAAGAATCACATATAATGAACTATGGATTGCATTCGATCATATAGCTTTTCTATCATCACATGTAAATGAAAAAAGAAGTCGTACAAATCACATTAATTTGACGAAGTGCAAGAACACATACTGTAGATAGGAGACAAGAGAAATAGAAGAAACAAATTCAGAATTTTTCATAATATTGCAGAAATAGTATAAAGTAATGCCGACAGATGCTTTTATGAAATCGAATATTCTTCAATGGAGTGATTGGTCTACATCAGAACCTGTTGTTTCTCAACAACAGCAAAAACCGCTCGACAAATCGAGCAAAAGTAATATTCGTTCGAACAAAGTCTCCCCAAATAATGACAACTCAAACAATTTGAAAAGTAGAAAGAAAGAAAAGTAAAACGACGGACAATCTATGCGATAAATATTTGATTACAATCGTTTTTTTTAGAAGAGATTTCCAATGTCAACCAAAACGATGCTGGTCATCAATCTCACCATTTTACAAAGGTTTATTATTGGGTGCGTTGACAAGTGGTGTGATATTAGGGATTGTATTGCCACTTTGGTTGACATCAACAGCCACTGGAAACACCACTTCAACGACAACATTTAGTAAATATTCATTCGTAACGTTTGAGTTCAGATTATTCTTCAAACACGGTTAGGCATACTCGTTAGAACAGAAATCGAAACTATGTGTTGAAAAACTGACAGATTTAGTCTTGGAAATCGATCGAATGTTTTTCTGAACATCAACAGTTGCCATTATTTTTTCTATTCTTAGTGACAAAAAATGTTAGATAAACTATATTCCGAAATAAATAATTATTTCGAATATCTTCTTTTATATAACCAAAAATCATCTACTTTTGTAGCTGGTAATGTTACTCTCCGCTGGAATACAACAGGCATTACAATCGCTGGTATTATGAATCAACACGGAACGGATTCCAATCTATTGGATTGGCCTATCAGTCTAGCAATCGATTCATCAAATGCACTATATATTGGCGATCATCTCAACCATCGAGTTCAAAAATTTTTATCAGGTATATCAAACGGAACGACTGTCGCCGGACAGTCAAGTGGAGCACAGAATAGAACTCCGACAAGTTTAAACTTTCCTGTCGGTGTAATAGTTGATTCTAGTGGAAATCTTTACGTAGCAGACTCCGGAAATTCACGAGTTCAATTATGGGCAAGTGGAGCATCATCAGGAAGCACAGTTGCCGGCAATGGTAAGGAACAAGCTGATATTGCCAAGGATGCCGAATGAGATTCTTTTTTTTTTTAATAGGTACTGCAGGTACATCAGCCAATCAACTAAATGTCACCTACGGCATTGCACGTGATCCAAGCTCCAACACGCTTTATGTAGCTGATTATGGTAATCATCGAATTATGGCTTATACCTCAAATGCATCTTCAGGAAGTTTAGTTGCCGGAGGCAATGGAATAGGACTGAATAAAACGCAGTTGTATAATCCTTCAACTATTTATTTTGATTCTCCATCGAACAGTCTTATTATAGCCAATCGTTATGGGCATAATATAGTTCGTTGGACGTTAGGTGATTCTCAGTGGACACTAATTGCTGGAAGTACTAATGGAACGCAGGGTAGTTCATCGACATTACTTAACTCTCCTTTCGGTATGACATTAGATCCAATGGGAAATGTGTATGTGGCTGATACATCCAATCATCGAATCCAACTATTTATGGCAGGACAGCTCACTGGTCTCACAATCGCGGGATCGGCAGGAGCACGCGGCAATGATTCTAACCAATTTTGGGCTCCTTATGCAGTAGCATTAGACAGCCAACTAAATTTATACGTTGCAGACAGAAATAATAATCGAGTACAAAAGTTCCTACGTTATTAACTGAATAATACGAGGTACCTCAAAATTATTGAACATAGTTATATACATGAACAAAAGAACACATTTTATTTCAAGAACTAATGATATAGATCTGATACTATTGTAGTTATATGAGTCTACTGAACTACTATCCAGTACGCTGATCTTGCTCTTCAATCTTTTTCTATTTGAAGAAAAAGGGTGTGGTTGTGGGATGTGGGTTAGCAAGGGTGTGGATGTGGAGGGTGAGTACTCATTCGATTCATGCCCACGCCCACATCCTTCGTTATCGAGATACTTTCTCTCAAAGCAAGAGTGTTTACCATAATTTATGATTTTCATAGCTACGTAGTGACCTTCCTTCATCTCCTACAGAGTTTTCAACAAATTCGTCTCACACCTTCTAGAAAAATTGCTTTTTTCAAGAATAAAGACTTCTACGCCTTATTGTGTATTTAAATAACTTACTAGGCTTATTCAACTCATTTCAAGGATATAATGATGGAGGTGTATCAACGATAGATAAATATGTACTAGATGAATAATTTATTAGAAGATTCCATGCAAGTATTTCACTCAACATGAAATGTATTTTGAACAGCACGGTATAGCGAAGAAAGCAACAACAAATGAGCAGTTCTAATATACATGATATTCAAATATTTTGCTTAGTTTAAAATAATTTATATGATGATTTTGTGTGAGTATTTTGCTTTATTTATAGTTAGATAGCAAATGAATAATTTAAACAAAGATTTTTATTTGAATACTGCATTGAACTTTCGAAACAAATATTAAAATTAACACAACTGAAACACGTATATTGCAGTAATCACAAGAATTCTTGCTATCGGATAAAATGTAAATAAACTTCAATCATTTTATATGAAATTTTGACTAGAAATAGAGCTCAGTAAATTTTGATCGCAAGCAGCAACCTGAGTTTGATAGGCCTTAATGAAAAATATTTATGATGAAAACACTGGGTTTTTCTTAAGGCCAAAAAACACTCTTTCTAATTTTCCACTATCTAAATGCGTTAACCTTCGTTTTCTTATTAATAAATAAAGATTCGCATGCGTATATTATGTCACATGTAAAATACTCCAATACGTTTTAATCTTGAGGCGCGGAGAAGCCATCGTTATCTAGGATGATTAAAGCATGGATCTCTTCTCCATTGATGACTGCAATCGTAAAATTTTCAAAGAAAACTTGTTTAGAGCAGAGTACGCACTGGAGAAGATTTCAAGACAACTTGTTAGAATTAGTCGGAGATATCGATCACTTTTCGATGATTTCCATCAACTCGCATGTGAAGATTACTTCATAAATTAGGCAAATCAAAACTATTTGACATAACACTTTTATCGGTAATAGAGACATCACTGTTCTGTCGAATGAGAGGTCTAATATCATGCGACTTGTTTCCTATTTTGAGATATCCCCGTCTGAAGAAAAAATTTGTGTTGAACTTCTAGCCCATCTGTATGAAGACCGATCGAGTTCTGATTAATCCTTGCGATCAAAGTTCAACATTCTCTATTTGTAGCCAAACTATGAGACCAAATGATTAAACGCCAGGTATTTCTTATTTAGTAGTGGAACGTTTTTCGACTACTGTATATAAATCTTATGAGAATACTATTGGAATATTATTTAGTATAGAATAAAAGTTTTTTTTTTTTAAGAATGATTATACAACAAGGTGATACACTACAATGAATAGTTCTAATTCAATTTTCATTCGAATATTTGTTCACTTCACAGCAAAACTTTCGAAAATATTATAAACTTCACAAGTACAATGAAAATGAATAATTTCAATTCATATTCTCTCCTCTATATTTATTCATAGTTATCACAAAAACCTGAAATCAATTATAATTTTTGAATAGATTTCCAAATGAAAATGATTCTTTAATAGAATCTATTGAATATTTATTCATATCAGAGAAAATCTTTCAAAGTTTTAATCAGATCAATAAATATGCAGCTAATAAAATAATTCAGACAAAGCTTCTATTCTATATTCTTAATGTAATTACTACAAAATTCGAAATTCGTTATATAAACAACAGACTCATGATCAGTAAATCATCCGCAGTTTTATAGTTCTGATCAAATACTTCATTTACTCAAAGGAGAAGATTTTTAATCCACTTCATAGTGTCTAAATACATTTTAAATGTATTATTTCAGCTAGAATTCTACTCAAATACTTACTAAAATGCGTAAAGTGGATGGTCAAAAATCATGGATTTTTCCCACGCTGGAAATGGTATAAAATAAAAGTACTTGATGAGTACAGAACTGCTCCGATATCTGTTTCTTTAGATCGCGTCCCTTTTGTAGATAAAATTTTTAAGAGGGAATCTGTCGGAGGACCACTCTACCTTAGCTATAGGCTGTCAGAGAAAAATTTTATTTTTTTGATTCTGTTATCTCAAATGAAAGGCAAAATCAAAATATAATCAAACCGAAAATGTAAGGTCATTTAGATTTATCTGCGAAGAAACGCGAGCGAAAACAAGAGTAAAAGGTCAATTTTGATCGTAAAAGTCGTCATCTTGATGGTGTATTTGATATTTCGACATTATCTCAAGAACGGCTTGAGCGTTTGAACTGGAAGATGGCCCATTTGCTAGGGAGCAGTACAGACTACAAATTCATCCTATTTAAATCACTAATATATGAAGTAAACAAAAACACTATAGGTCAAAAACTGTCTAAAACTCGAAAATCCGCTCATCAGGGATAGCAGTATTTGGGTGTGGGTTTAGGTGTGGGGTGTGTGGGTTGGTGTAGATTTTGATGAAGAGATGGCTCACACTCCACACCCACATCCCGCGCTGTGCACATCCATACCCGCATTTTAGGCAGTAGAGTCTATTATTCGACGCTTCTTCAGAAGATACAAACCGTCACACGGCAAACCAATCAGTTCCATTTTGCTGCTCGTTCAACAACTTCTCAAGGCATACTAATGGAGTCTTTTTCACTGAGTCAAGCTCAATCTGATTCGGCACAAAATGTGATCTATCTGGTACTCATGTTTGTTAAACATGACAGTGTTACAGTAACATGCTTATCCGACTGTTCTAACAGCATATTTCTCTCATATTGCTCGAGAAAAAGCGATAAAAAACAACTGAATATTTCACCAGGAAACGTTGCATTCAATATATGCAGAATGTGATATATGTTGCTGGATTCCAGTGAAAGAATTTTGTCTCATTTTCATCAGGTGGAAGGCAGTTTCAGGTGGTGTTCTCCTTCATTTAGGATTGATGCGAACATGTCATATTGTATGGTATGTTTCCATAGCTGTACTTTGTACAATGGCTTTGGTCATAGACATACTAATCAATTGGGAGCATGTTGAGTCCATTGTCAAGCTTTTTTAATAATGTGTATACGTCCGATCATTTTCGAGACATTCTCGTCTGTCGTTTAAATAGTAAAACAAATCATGCACGACTAACAATGCCTCCTATTCCATTATACTAATTCAATGGACGTCTTACCCATGTCAAACCGGCACGAAGTTTCTATGTACTTATTTTTCCCATGCATCTATCTATAATGTCCATGATTTTCCATAGTAAAATGTGGGTTGAACATGATGAATCGATAAACACTATCAATGCGATTATGACAATCGAAGAACAAGGAAAATTTTACAGATATAAAAATGATACAAGCATGTATAGTTCATACAAGTTTGAACTAGAATATCTTATCGATACAATTACGAATCTAATTGCATAGTGGAACAGATTAACATTTTTATGTAGCAAAGCGATTTTTTTTCTACATCAAGGTCTTATGAAAACGTATCGTACAAGATATCGATAGATTTCACTACGATATCACGTAGAAATTAATCGATTTGGTAGCTCTCTTTATACAATTTATTTCGCTTTTTACGCTATACTTGATTTTGCTTATCCCATTTTCAACGATAACCGTTGAAAGCCTTTCGTAATGAGCACACTGCCTATCTGGTGTTTAATATGCAGTGCTTCAACTGAATTCGTCGAAACATGGATTAATCTCGATCTTGACAAACAACGTCTAGTGATCGATGAGAAAAGATTGAATGCTACCCGACCGGTGCTCATTCTTGAAGAAGATAAACCTGAGAGTACTTCGAAAATATGTATTCGTCAAATTAAACCGATCGTATCTATATTTGTTCAACATCGAACATAATCGTAGTGGAATGTACCAGTATAGCCAGTTCTCATCAATATTATCTCAAAGTTCAGTAAGAAAAGCTAGGAGGATGAAATATTCGTAAAATTGTTAAGTATGTATATTATTTTATCAATTTTAATTATATGTAATAAAATTATTTATAAATAAAACACGTTTGATGCATTTTTTGCTACATTGCATGTAGGCGGCCAAAAATATCTCGGTTTTTCACTTTGCATAAGGAGTGCACGACGAGAAAAGAAAGATACTCTGACTCAACCTGTGCAGGTTCGTCTCACCACCAACCTTCCTCCATCAACACCTTGCGTTATTTCTCTTGCTTCCTATTCTTTCGTTCGCATTATTCGAACCACTTTATATTTCGATTCTTCCTTTGATTGCAATAAACTTATACCGCGGTAGGGAGTGTGAATGTGGTGTATGGGTGTAAGTGTGCGATGTGAGTGTGGGGTGAGGTGTATGTAAGGGTGTGGACGTGGATGTCTTCTCCGCAGCCACATACCCACACTCACATACTTCAACCGAAACCCACATCTATGCCCTCAAAAGGTTCCTCAATAGCAGGACTCTGTCACATTCGGAATATTCATTTAAAAAAATCTTGAAAATCCTTTCATTTCTTCTTGTTGAGATTTAAGTCGACGTTGGCATTAAAATCTGGTTATGATTTATGTATTTTCAATTCTTGGGCGGATTCTGAACAAAAACCAGCTGAAATCTTGATGAAACAATTTCATCCAGTCTGATCAGGATCCTGGACAAGATTATTTCTAAAGCTTGATAGAATCCTGAGAAACGTATTTTGAATAGATTATAAACGCAAACCTATAAGGATCCTCACGAGATCCTTGAATTTTCTTATCAAGATTCGGATCATACTTGATTTATTTTGTAAGGATCCGGCATGCTTATTTCTGCAAAGCTTCATGCAGGATCCTGGTAAAGTCCAGGAAATATTCACATAACAAGAATAAGTAGGACCCTGCATTCTCAATTCAGAATAGCACCTAAGTAAAAAACTTGAACAAATTCTGAAAAGGATCGTAAATCAAATTTGATAGGATTCTTTAGATTTGTGATCTTGAAAGAAGATCCTTCAAGATTTTCTTAAGAAATGAACACGGCTGAGTAGGTATTAGTCAGTTTAGGATTTCGGCTAATCTTTTTATTTTCTTGCTGAAACCCTCATCTGATGTAGCTATAAATCCTGGCAAGATCCTAATACAAAGATTTGGCATAGCTGTTGAAGAAGACTTGATAAAATCTTGTTAGGATTCTTAGTAGTATCGAGAGTGAATTCTGCCAAAACGCTGTATTCTCAATTCAGAAAAATATTTGAGCGGAGACTTGAGAATATCTTGAAAACAAGATCTTGAAAGATTCTTCCAAGCTCTCTCAAAGAATGAACATGATTGAGACTAGAAATTCGCTTATCAAACTTTCAGCTTCTACCTTCTGTTTCGAGCGCATTTTGTGTTTACAGTCAACAACATCATTCCTGCAGTTTGTCGACAAGTCAGGTGTCGAACGAAAAAAAAAGAGTAGCGAGGTAACGAACGCACAAGAATTGCACGTCGAGAAAAAGAAAAGAAAGATTTTTGTCATTCAACAACACATGCACTAATGGCGTCCATATAATGAAGAAAAAAATTATCGATGCCAACAAAAGTGATTCCATCTCTTCGTACTTTACCTGTCGAACTTCTCTATCGAATACTCGAATATCTCGATGTTCAAACAATTCTTCTATCACTTCGTAAGGTCTGCACGAAATTTTATACGATTACCGAGAATTTTGACCGTTATAAACTTGATTTAAGTTCAAGTACAAAGCATGATTTCCATTTAATTTGTCATCTTATTCATCCTGAAAGTGTTATGTCAATTATTGTATCCGATGGAGAAAAGACACCTGGTCAAATAAAATTATTTTTTTCTCTTTTTCAAATTCAACAATTTATTCGTCTTCGTTCATTAACACTTAATCATATCGATTGTAAAGATTTAAATGAAATTCTTCATGATATTCTTCATTGTTCACTTTTATCCTTATCATTTCATACAAGAGGAAAACGAAATAAATCAACATTAAGACTTCTATCAATGTTTACTACTAGATCTAGTCTTCGACAACTTTCTATCAATACTCATGCTCATCATGTTGCTGAAATATTTAGTTCAATTCAATCGAATCTTCAACATTTGAATATTGGAACATGTACATATGAAGAATATCATAAGATACTTCGACATTGTCCTCATTTACGAACACTTATCATTGATGATTGTTGGATGACAGATATTGGTGAAACCAATTCAATAGGTTCACGAGGAATATTCTATCCTCAATTAATTTCATTGACATTCAAAGATACGAACAGATCAATGATACAATTACATTTACTTCTTTCATTTACACCTTCATTGACTTATTTGAAATTAATTAATTTTCCATTTGCACATAATTCTCTTATTGATGGTTATCAATGGGAAATATTTATTAAAAGAAAATTATTATTATTAAAAAAATTCGAATTTCTTTTTCATCAACAATTGTTAAGAACATATAATTCTTCATCTGATATCGAATCACTTCTTTTACCATTTCGAACATCATTTTGGCTTGAAGAAAAACATTGGTTTGTCATATGTGATTATATCAAAAGTTGTCATCAAACAAAATTTTATTCAATACCATATTGTCCTATCTCATTTGATTATCATCTTGATCCAGATCATATTTCATTATCTACATCAATGATAAAAACCTATGATCCAATAATCCTGGATAATGTACATTGTTTATCATTAAATTTGACAGAATTGAAAAGTAAAGGAATGAGAAAACTGGTATGTAGTAATAATTTAATTGTTCAAGTAGAACAAGCTTCTTATCATTTCGAGATCAACAGAATAGGGATGTGCGAGACTGGAAATGAAATTGGACTTAGAAACTTTTGTCGTGTATAAACAATCATTTTTACAGAAACAAATTCTATTTTTTTCATGTGCAGTCGAAGAGGAATTTCATGAGTTTTATGCAATTTATGTCTTTAGGATTTTCGAATTTTTCTCAAAAACTACTCATTATTTTGCGGAATCGTCGATCGAAAAGCCATTAATTTGCTCATCTCTACGCCGGAATCGAGAAGGATGAAGTTGATGATTTTCAAGGAGCCGACTATTGTTGCGCGACGTACATGAGCAAATGAGAAAGAAAATCGTTCAATTCTGCTGGAGAACAACAAGTTTTTCAAGTTTGGAAAGTTGCATCCTTGCTTTCAGTGTTTGTTCATTTGTCTTTCAATTTGTTACTCAATTTCTTTTTTTATGCACTATACCATTTTTGTTCTCAATGTTCTCACCTGTATGAGGATTTATCGGCAAACACTTTTTTTTTGAGGAAATCTGCTATTTCCATAGTCAAAACCAATAGCCTCTAATACATAGAAAAAAAATGCCCTTTGATGAAATTCTCAAAGGAATCCTTTTGTCATTTATAAAATGGCTTTTTGTGGCATGAGAATGATAGAAATGATCAAATAAATAGTTGAAAAAGACATGACTTGTGCCTTTCAATTCTGCTCATTTTGATAGAATTTTGCACATGATCTGTACTTCGAATGAATAAACGACACATGTAGACAGTCGTGAGCGGAGACTCACTGCTCAATCCTGAAAAATTTTCGTTTTTTCCCTAGTAGATTGCCTCCCGTACTCGCGTTCCCTCTCGATTCCCAGTCGGTCGATACACTCCTATTAAAATAAGGACCACTCGAAGACTGATGTCAAAGTAGAATTAGAAATAAGTATGTTCTTGGCACAATAAAGTTATCAGCTCATAGAATCCTTCCGTAATTTCGCTCATAGACGGTTATTTTCTATCAAATCTTCCATTAAAAGATTTCTAAGATTTGAAAATTTTCGTAAGAATGGATCTAATTCCTTATATTTTTTAATCAAAAATACCATCTCTTAGATATAATAATCTCATTTTAATGCTATCAGCTACGGAACAATTTTCCAATATCCTGTGACGATCATATGATATCATTAGAATTTTAGAACGACAAAAGTTTGCTTCTATTTAGAGTGCCAGAAAAAAGCCTACGTTATTCCGCAACGTGACTGAACTAAAACTTTGCATCGATGGTGAATGGCCGCTTGACTCACTTGATTGTCTTTTGATGCTGCTCGATCTTTCTCATCTTGATATTTTATCTCTTCAAGTTGATTTTAATAATCCATGTACAATATCGAATACGATAGCGAACATAATCGCTTTGATCTATCGTACATGCAATATTCAATCACTAGAATTATGGCCTCTGGGTGCGGATGGTCAATATACTACAACAATAGCAAACATTTGTTCTATAATTCCATGTCATGTTCAACATTTGACTTTAAAAATCAAAGAGCTCGATGATATGAAAATAGTTATAGAAAAATTGTTACACTTATCAAGTGTTTCATTTTATTTTCCTTGTTATAGAAAGATCAATGTTAAAGATATGATCGATTGGTTGATTAACAAAAAACGAGATTTAACGTATTTAGAAACTGAAAACTCGTTAAATTTATGGTTGAACACGAATAAAAATAGACTGTTAGAGAACGTTCATAGATTATAATCAAAGCAATGATCTCATGAACGATAAAACAATAATTTTCTTTTTGCTATCGATTAACCAATAAACTAATCATCAATGATTTAGACTGAGTCATCTTTATGCATGGTGTGTTTTTCCTCTCCATATTGAGTTCTATATTTCTGAACCATATTTTGCACACTAAATATCAACCTGAAAGACAAATTCGTCAATGAAGTATCTTCAATGACTGACTCTTCCTTCTCATGTAAATATTTTTCGAGTTGAAACGCGTCCGAATCGTATTCGATGTGCATCCAAAATGCAAAGAACGAATGTGTCTCGATGCAGCAGCTCAAATAAAACATTATTTTACGTCTGAACGCAATTTCTGATCGAAACACGTTGGGATACGTTTCAAATTAAACTTTGAAAATTTAAAAAACAAGTCTCAATCCATCTCAGATTGACACCATCAATATGTTACCATGATGGTCTTCGCCTAACTTAGCTAATGGATTAAATTATTACCTTAAGCGACTGAAGTCAGATTTCCACAAGCGCATCATCGATCAGAAGTTGTATTTGAAGACTAACTTAAGACTTTCAGTCTATCAAAATAACAGCATTTACTTTCGAAAACGAGAATATTTCATATTCAATATATTGTTCTTTTTTTTCCAGATAATCAGTACTCATAACCTTAAAAGAATATGTTATTATCTTGTATTGATCATGATGAATATCAGAAAATATTTTTTTTGTTGCTGTTGAATGTAGGGTCGGTTATATTTGTAGTTGCTGAAAATTAATTGCATTATATACAGGAACTGAAAGAAATTTAATAATAATATAATCCACATAGAATAATTCTAAACACTATTGATAAACTAAAAAATGTGAATGGCTAATTTTATATGCCATTGCTACAAATTGCATAGAATCCACGAAAAAAAACACTTAAAAAGATTTGCTTTTGAACGCATTCTTTTTCCAGCTCACATGTTTTCGCTAGACTTTCAACGCACTTTTTAAAACACGTTGGAAGGTTTTTTTCACTAGAAACATAAACAAGCAGTTTGAGCCCCACGAGGACTCTTACAAAGAAGATCAGCTAGAAAAGTCTATTGTTATTCGCTTAACCTACCCTTGAAGGGGTGGGTGTGGATCTTCTATTCTTCCACATTCACAGAGAAGCTAGTTGATCAATGTTAAAAGTGATACATTCGATTGATAGATATTCAAGAATTGATGAGATCATTGTTGTAACTGGAAAAGTATTGTAAAACTTGACAAGAATACCAAGATAACAATACGTGAGTTTAGACATACATCCAATCATATCGATAAAGGACTCAAAAAAAATGTTTCAATTCTTTCAAAGTGATATACATTGATGTTGAGATGAGTAAGATGATGACGAAGATAGAGAAAAAGATGAGTTTGTTGTGGAGTATCGTCATCGTCCGAGAGATGAAGTGAAATAATGTGATCAACAATCAGTAGAAGACATTGGCGACAAACGAAGTCGAAATCATGCTTGGATACCGATCAAAGATCAAGAGAGGAACATCGAAGCGAGAATTGAGAATATGAAATGCACGAAGAAGATCAACAGCGTGAAAAAAATCGAAGAGTCGACTAATAATCACAAATCTGTGCTTTGAAATGAACAAAATATTTGAACATGAGCATATTAGTAGTCAAGTTCGTTGTGCTTCAAATTGCCTATCTGTCGCTTGTTTACTGATCATATTATCAATTTATAATTTTTTCATGGTCATATCAATGAAATATCTGAATATAGAACCTTCGTAATTCTATATCTGTTTACATTCCTGGGTTTTCGTCCTGTGTGTCAATAGCACAGGTACGATGTATCAATATGGGATCTCAATCATAACTCATCAAGAGAATGTCTCTGTTAATTTTTTTTCACAATTCATATACACTTACGGAGATATACAATCGTAAAACACTCTTATATGATTTTTTTTAGCTAAGAAAACAGAAATATTTTTTGTATATGTAGTCTAAGATAAGTTTTATTTTGCAAAGAGATATCAATTAAAATTTAAGATAAATTTGTTCCACCGTTGACTAAAATACTCTGTCCAGTAATATAGTCAGAATCTTTGCTTGCAAGAAATGAAACCAAGTTTGCGACATCATCTGGATATCCTATACGACCAAGTGGCACAGCTTTTACAAGATCTTGCATAACATGTTCCTTTGACGTTCCTTGAAATTCTGCCGATTCTTCATAAAACCCATCTAACAACGGTGTCTGAGTCATTCCTGTTAAAGTTTCTTAAATTTAATATCTAAAAAAACAATAGTACATACCTGGACAATAAGCATTGACTGTAATATTATGTAAAGCCCATTCCATAGCAGCAGCTTGTGTTAAACCTCGTACACCCCATTTTGTAGTAGAATAAGCACCAATCATTGCACGTGATTTATATCCAGCATTACTACAAGCACCAATGATTTTTCCTCCTCTACCTTGTTTAATCATGATTTTAGCTCCTTCTTTGTAACAAAGAAATACACCACGCATATTTATTGCAAAAATTTTATCCCAATCTTCTACACTCGTATCTAATAGCGATTTCACATTACAAATTCCTGCATTTGCCACTACTACCTGTAGAATTAATTGCAGGAGAAAAAAAAAGTTCAAAAAATCAAAAAGAGTAAAAAATACATACATCTAGACTTCCTAATTTTTGTGCGACCTCTTGCATCATTTTTTCGACTTGTTCACTCTGAGAAACATCAGCAATTATAGCAATCGATTTTTGACCAATTTGTTCGATTTCTTGTTGAACTTTTTGAAGATCAGAAGAGTTAACTTGTAAATCATTAACCGCGACATTGAGACCATCTCTAGCTAGACGAAGTGCAATTGCACGTCCTATTCCTCGAGCAGCACCAGTTACCAAAGCAGTACGAATCATTTTCAACAATAATCAATAAAAAGAAAAACAATAGTTATTTGAATAAATCTCTTCTTGGTTCTTGTAAGATTTTTTTTTCTTCGTCTTATCTGTAGTTATTACAAATTGATAGTGCATCGACAACATAATAATAGCTGGTAGGAGCGACTTTCTCTTCTTATCTTATTTCGACGTACCCTTAAAGTATAATAACAACAGAAAAGAAAAAGAAAAAAAATTCAGGTGTATATATAGTCTAGTACATTTTCCTTTTCGTCAATAAAGTTTGAAGAAGGCAGCATCACCTGTCAAAATGTGATATGAAAGAACATTCTACAAAAAAACCAGGAAGAGACTTATTCCAACATAAACAAACGATCGGCTTAAGCCCTATTTTCACCTCACATACCCTATACATGCTTATATCTAAAACATCAACAGTGATAAAAGCAAAAACATTCAATCATGTCCAATAAAAATATCAGTTATACGATTAGAAGAGAAACGAGTAGAAAAATCGTGCGTTTCTTTCTAACTGTCTTGTCTCATTAAACTTCAGAAATTTCACACTGACATTTTTTTCTTTGGAATCAATTCTATGATAAACCCATACAAGAAAATATTCTACTTAACATCAACAAAAATAGATAAATAAATTTCTTGTTTTTAAATGTTTACTTTGATTTTCCATTTTTACCAAACACAATTCTTTCAGAATTTTTATTGAATTCAGTGGTTAGAAGCTATGAGTGAACCTTTGAAAGGTCTTAAAATAAACTTTAGACAAAAGCAGTTGCACTAACATATTTAAAGGTGAAGAACGTGATCGTACTTTGTTTGAACTTTATTCTATGCCATTTTTCAACAATTTTTCTCGAAACTCTTTTATTTCTGTTGTAAAGACACCTATTTTACTTAGTTCCACTTCCTTTTCTTTTAGTGTAGTGCAACGGGCGATGATTAATAAACAATGCACAAGGCTCCATCTTGAAATCATTAAGATTACGTCACTTGGCGACTCTATTATTGCCAATGGGCTTCTATATACAGTACAGCACTAGTGGAATTGAATCTTTAAAAAAAATCGTACTTCCGACATCAGCTTCATACACAATGAATCGATCATGAGAATTGCCATTAGCGACTGTTACATATCCATATTAGATCAAGGTACTCTTATAAATACGGCAGTATTCAGAATAAGATGTGATTCCTCAAAAAACTAAACATGTAATGCTTCATGATTATTGGCGCAATATTAATATACCCTCATTCATTGTTAATTTGAATCAAAATTACCAAGAAGATTTTTTTTTATTCATTTTAACTTGATTCCCTTTTGAAGTTGAGAACGATTAGTATGAAAGAAACGCCAGAAGTTTCGATTTTATTCAAGAGTTTAAATGCTGTTAAGATCTCTATATTTTTCTTCTCTGCTGAAAATATCACAGAATAATAGTTGTAAGGATGAACGATAAGATTCTAGTTTTCTAAATATGTATTCGCTCAATCGATATTGAATGTGTGCAAGAAACATATGGTTTCAAATGTGAGCATTTTTTCGAACTCAAATAATTGAAATAATAATGTTTTGACATATCATCGAACTAGATTCAGTTATTTGTCGATTCAAAACAGCCGAGACGTCTCAAATTAATCATACTCGATATCGAGTATTTCATAGTTTTGAGGATATTGTGATGAGCAACAAATTTATGTTGACTCGAACGATATTGAATCAGATCGCCTCGATCTTATGAAATCAGGAGCCAAAATGAAGATTTCTTTCATTTCATTCAAACGAGTTTGAATCATCCATAGCATGTGTTGCTCTTCGATAAAATTCTGCTTGTGGATCATGATTGGCTTTTCGACACGAAGTATAGTGACTTGATTAAACATGAAGAAAAACAGAAACAAAAGCGACCCAAAATTGAATTGACCATCATCTATGTGTCTATCTGATGATATAATGACTTGAATTTCATAGCAGACTGGCCTCATATGATTCAGTGATCAATTATTTTGCCTTTCTCTATCAATTTAATCAGTTACTATATACATTTAGGTGTCGCTTCGTATTTGATTCTCTATTGAATCTTATCTCTTTTTGATTAGTTTCGAGTGTAAAAGATTTCAAGCTTTAATTATATGTTCTACATATGTGAATAGCAATAGTCAGAACAATTGCGTATAGAAGACTTGAGGGTGTGGGTGTAGTTCTTTTTGTTCATTTATAACCACACCCAATTTTTTTCCAGTGGATTCATAACGTTTTATTGCTTTTTTTGCTCATCAATCTCCTAAAAAATGATCAACCTCCCCAACTGAAACAGTCGACTCCTCTCTTCCGATAGAAAAAGGTTGGTTACTCTATCCCGACTACTTCACGACATCCCTGTGTATAGTTAGACAGATGTCTAAATAGTTAGATAGATTATATACAGAACAGACAGCTAGCTAAAAAGTTAGTTGGATACACTGCAATAAATCGGAGTAGAATAAAAAACGGTAAAAGAATTGTAGAAATTTGAATAAACAAAATACCATTTATTGGTTTTTGGCATATCAGTCGTACTGAATTAAAAAGGTATTTTGATCAAGTAAAGAACGGAAAGAAAGGTATTTTGTTTGTTTCAATTGCTATAACCATTTTTCTGTTTTTTATGCTACGGAAATTTTTTACAGTGTAGAAAGATTTATTATTCCTCTATGGAATCGCTCACTATGTAGTGGATACTAGCTTGGCTCTAAAGTTTTGTTAGCCATGGCATTGAGATGTCGAAAGGATATATCTGGACGAGATCTACATGTGATAAAAAAAGAACTGTAGTACCTCGTACTATTTTAGAGAAAATGTCAAAATAGTGATATCTTGCACCATTGCTATTTTTGCATTTTCGGCGGTATCTGATCTCTGTCGTTTCTACGGATCAAGATTTGATTGATCACATATGATGATTTTGTAGACTCCGGAGGCCTCTATCATTTGAAACGTGGCTCGCCTAGAACGGTCGAAGTAGAAGAGAAATATTGCCAAAATACTGAGGACATTCGTTTTTTGGACTACAAATAGGTCCCAAAACAGTGTTTCAACCTGTATTCTGCATAGACAAAATGAAATAGTCTAATATTTTGGATTTGAACATAGGTTCACTAGATCTTTCGTTTGAGATATAAAAATCGAAGATAACAAAAATTTCCTCCAGCGATCTATAAGGACAGTTGGATGGTTTTGTGACGGATCCTTTCTTAAATCGAATATGGAGGTCAGATCTTGAACAGAAAGCGTATGAAATTTTCAGGAAACTCAGGTATCAAAATAATTTGTTTGGTAAAGAGAACAGAAAATGAATAATAATCAGTTGAAGAAAAAAAGAAGAGAACGTGCTAGATGACATATATCATATATAAGAGAAAGGAGAAAGAACAATAGTCAGTCGGCACGAGAGAGAAGAGAAAGCACTATACGACATATATCATAAGAGAAAAGTACGACACTATCTAACACGCTATTTGTAATGTCTGATGGAGTAGCAAAAGTGTCTGATTTGATCAGTCGAATGTAATACTAACGCCGATATGTTTTGGCATAATGGTAATGGTTTGTACTTGTCCACCCGTGTTAACTTGAGGGCCACCATCATGAAAAGTGACATATTGCATCAACCTTGCTGCGATTACCTTGAACTCAAATCGAGCTAAATCTTGTCCAATACATTGACGATGTCCACTACCAAAGGGAATGAATGCATAGGGATGAAGAGGCTTGCCTCCTTTCAAGAATCTCTCCGGATAGAAAATTTCGGGATCGATTGACCAGTTCTGAGGATCTTGTGCAAGATTATGAATGGAAATATACACTTGATCACCTTTGTATAGTTGAACGCCACTCTCGGGCAGACGATCATCGACGGTTAATGTGCGAAAGGTTCCATCGGAGATTGGAGTAAAGCGTAGTACTTCGTTAATAACAGCATCCAAATAGACAAGTGAATCAAGACGATCTAATGATAACGGTCCTTTATAATCATCACCATCCATCAATTCTGCCTTGATCTTCTGCTGCACTTGCGGATGTTTGCTCATATGATAAATGAACCAAGATAAAGCGCTGGATACTGATTCAGATCCGACGATCAGAAAGAACAGCATCTCATCCAACAGTTCACTTCGAGACAAACCTGTAGATTTTTTTTTTACAAAATATAGTTTTGAAGTACACAAACTGACCTTTCTTCTTATCTTCAATTTTCTTTATTTCTGCTTGTTCATCTTGTTGTAATGAGCATACAAGTGATGCAATTAATGATGTTCTTTTCCGTTGTACAGTCGACGTGGAACTTTGAGCTAATTCGTGTGCTATTATTCTATTACAATATTGTTCGATGATTGCTCGAGCTCGTCGATGTCGGACATTCAGTTTCAAATAGATCATGATCATAATGTCTGGAAAACGTATGATTTTTTGAACTAAATCCAATATGTCTTGTAACGCCCGAGCAAGATCATTGTTGCTTGTGTTCTTATGACGATCATCATCATCGAGTGTGTTCAAATCGTAGTCGAATGCAATAAAACCGAAGATGTCAAGAATTAATTTTTGACATTGGTGAACAATGTCCAAATGCACTGTCTGAGACGAACTATGACGCCATTTGGCCAATAGTTTGTCAGTAGTATCCATAATCAAATCTAGATTACAGATAATCTTACTATGGCGAAACAAGGGCATAGTTAGTGAGGCATGTCGTTTGAAGGTGGAACCTAGAAATCATTTTATGAAAGTTCTCCAATTAGATGTTTAAAGCTAACCTTTGATGTTAATTATCGCATTGGGAATAAGAATACCAAACTTTTTGACAAATGCATCACCCTGCTCGTAGATATGTCGATGAGTATATATATGCTGTACGTCGCCAGTGCCGCCTACAATAATCAGACGTGAAGGGCCAAGCCAGAATTGAAAAATATTACCAAAGCGACGTGTAAATTCTTTAAAGGCTTCTGCAGCGGTTGCACCATGCAGTAGTATACCTGATTGAATCAGATTACCAAAGAGAATGTGAGGCGACAAACCGGGCAAATTATCGCGAAGAGTAAAATACTTGAATTTTAAATAAAAATATATCAAAAATGAAAGCACTACGATCAGTAGGAGCAGCATTTTATGCGCGCGGATAACGATAAACTATCGACACACACAGGTTGTAGATAATACAGACAATAAACACACTCACATGTTTATTCGTTTCATTTATACTATTATTCCCATCCCTCCGAGAAAGAGAACAAAATATATGGTGTATGCATCATGCTAGATACGTAAATATACCGTGTCTTCTCATTGGCGAACATAAATTCAAAATTCAAACATTGTTAAATTCACTTTCGATTGTTTTTTTTTCAATTTAAATTATTCAAATAGAAAACAATCTCAAGTCTAAAATTTTCGTTATTTAAATTCTGAAATATTTATTTATATAAATTTCAAAAAAAGAACTCATTTTATAACGTAAATTATTTTTAAAAAATTAACCGAAAATTTCGAATTTTCGATTTTGAAATTTATAAAACATTTATTGATAACAGTTTCAATAAAACTTATACATTCAGTTTCACTTTTAACTAGCTATAATTTATAGAGTTCGCTAAGTATTGAGTTACACAATTGCTATTTAATGACCTGTAATTTGTAGAGTGCGCTAAACTACTGCTCTTTTCTTTTTCTTTTTAACTAATTACAATTTATAGAGTTCGTCAGACATACTTGTTATTATGAACGTCAAGAGTTTTTTCTTAATTTGAATACACCATTTAATTGTCATTATAACATGAAAATAAGCATCGAATGTAGAGAAATTAATTGAGGTACAAAGCATTCATATACAAAAATTAAGAATAGAAAAAATGCTGACCAAAAAAAAAAAAGATGAACTTGAAATATGAATGTTGATGAGCGGCTGTTCCTGTATATATTTCATTTATATATAAGCAAAATTCATTATTTTAGACAGCTTTGAGACTTCATATGTCATTACTCACTATCGATAGATGTCTAATGTGGTCAATTTGACTAGAATTTATTCCGATCGATCCTCAGTAAAAGTTCAAGTCTAATAGGATATTGTGTTCGCCCGACAACATACGACCGCAATTAGAGCTGTAATGGTGATGAATATTCATCGGTATTCAATAATAATTAAAGGTAATTAGTACAGAAACGACCGTTTTCGAAACGTAATTAGTCATAACAATATCGTTTTGAATTAGATTAACTTTCTCTGGTAATAAATAATTGAACAAGAATAATTCTTTAGAACATTATTTATTCAGTTTTTTTAAAAGTATTCCCAAGGTCTTTAGACAACAAATATTCAAATAGTCGATAGAAATTTCACAAGAATATTTGCTAGCAACGAATAGAAATTGTGAATTCAGCTATTAAAACCCATACTTGATTTCTAACACAATAAAAGCAAAAAATTGAACAGTGCATGGAGATAATAAATATGATAAATAAAAAAATATAATGAACGAATAAACATATATGTACATTATCATATATTCGCTAAGAAGAAACGTACAAATGAATAAGTATATAGAGTAATCAAAAAATTATTCTAATTAGCATGTGTACATTGAGGACGACAATACTGATTCATTCGGTACGCCAATTTCATATTCAACTAAGTGTACTTTTGCTAAATTGGATAAAAGTGATAATCAGCTATAATAAATTTGTCAAAACTTTGTTGCTGACGTTGCAGATAGTTTATTTTTTCAATTGAACCCTTGAACAAATATTTGAAAATATTTCAGCTCTTCATTAAAACACATACGTTTAGTCTTTTCTTTCTTCGTCTCGAACGATACATCTTGCTCACCAGAACCTGCTGTAAAATCATCGTGCGTGGATGATTTTGATAAATTCTATTTTAAGAATTTATATTGTGATTGAACAGATGTTATGGATGAGTGTGAGTGTCAATGCCTTTTTTATCCACACTGATAATTGTTATGGAATATTCCCAATAAATGTAAAAACAAAGATCATGTCCAAGATTTCGTCCATATATATATATGTTAACGGTGATATCGCATCATCACAACCCTCGATGCAGTTTTGCTCTCTTTCTTTCTCTTTTCATTAGTTGTTATCATTTGTTTTCTTTCTTCTCTTAATTCCTTCTCAGTTATATATATATGTGTGTAACTGCCTGCGAATAGATATATTCTTTTTCCAGTGAAATAAAAGTAAAGCTCGTCTGTTTCGAGCTAGCATCATAATTTTCAGTTAATAATTGAGTTTACTGGAATCCCATCTTTTTATATTGACTTTATTTTCCTTTTCTATTTTTCGTATAATAGCTGACTCCTAGTCGTTCGAACTTTAAGAAAAAATGCTTTGCAGCAAAGAACAAAGAATCATTTGATTGTGATATCAAATAAGTATGGAAATATTGAAAAAAACGAATATTGTATAAAATTCATGACGAATATAAATTAATAAGAGCAAAACTTAATGAATGCGATAAGAAAACTATAAAGAGATAAGATTTCAAAGTATGTCCCTTTGATATTTTGTTGATTACATTCATGTCAGTCTACAATATCAATATTATAATCTTTTTATCAATAAAAACTATGCAAATATTTTTTTTTGAGTAAAGTATAAGACCAAGCATGAAGATTTGAATGTTAATAAATAGTTGTTGAGAATTCACTTTAATGAAAGAGAATAATGAATATTTTGTTGAAAAGAAGTTTTTTACTATTATATACTGCGACAATTTGTGTTGCAGTCCAATATAAATGTGATAATAGGAATACGTCATGTGGCTGTGGTCTTTTCAATGTTGAATTAACTTCATCAGAAAATTTCAGTGGAAAGATTACGGTCAAGCACAGTTGGTCAATGATTGTTCTTCTTAATTTCCACTCGTCAATCGAGAACAGCCCTTGTAGTGGATCGATTTTAAATAATTATTTCATCCTAACAGCTGCTCATTGTATTGAAAAAATCGCTCCATTATATATTACAATTAAGGCTGGTATCCATTATCCAATAGATGAAAATGCAACCATTCATATCGTAGATAGCATCTATCTCCATCCTAAGTATAAAGGTCATACTGATGGATATGTTAATGATATAGCACTTTTGAAATTAAATAAACCATTGAATTTCAATGATAACCTCTATGTTACTCCAACATGTATACCTACTATAAATGCATCAAGAAATATATCACAATATCCGAAAAATGGTACACGATTAACTGTAATCGGTTGGAACTCAATAAGACAAGGTAAAGTGGATATATTTAATCCTCTTCAACAAAGAGAAATCTTCTTTATTGATAACAATAATCCAATGTGTCTTCGTTCGTTTATTGATCCAGAAAAACAATTTTGTACTGGTTTTTTAAAAGATGGTAGAGGTCAGCGTTAATGCTTTATTTTTTTAATTTTTATTCATTAATTATCTTTATCTATTTGACTAGATCCATGTTATGGTATGTTTCATGCGTGTTGAATTATTATGGATTAGAATCATTTAATTATTTTAGGCGATTCTGGTGGACCGATCTTACAATGGATGAGTAATCGATGGGAACAGGTAAAACTATAACATTAAGTGTTTTCTTCTTAATTTCTAAATCAATCTTTTTCTTGTCGAAACTCTTATGCACTATTTTGATGATTACTAGCGTAGATATCGTTCAATATTTTAACAATCTGTTCTATTAATTAATTCTAGGTAGGTATAGCAAGTTACTCTAGATGTGGAATTCCAGGTTATCCAAGCATCTATACTCGTCTTGCGTATTATATCGATTGGATAAATTCTATTATAATAAGTCACAATGAATCATTATATACAGTAACAACTCGCAATTCTCCAGTTACTTATAATTGTGATAGAAACAATGTGACATGTGGTTGTGGATATGCAAATGTTGAAATAATTCAATCTCGTATTATTGGCGGTACAAATGCTGTCGAAGCGAGTTGGACAATGTTTGTTTCTCTACGTATTTTAAATGGCAATAAACATTTATGTGGTGGAACACTTCTATCAAATTCATATATTCTAACTGCTGCTCATTGTGTTCAATCATTTTCATTGATAGATCCTTTCGATTTAACCATTGTCGCTGGAATTACTAATCGTTCTGATTCTTCTCAATATATTAGTTATATTCGTCGAATTTATATACATCCAAACTTTACGCATCAAAGTAATAGATTTATAAATGATATAGCCATATTAGAACTTTATGATCCATTATTAATTGATTCAAATCCATTATTAAGTAGAACATGTGTTCCTCACATTAGTTCATCTATATTAAATAATCAATATCCTATAAATGGTACACGATTAGTTATTATTGGATGGGGAACAATTGAACATGAACAATATATTGAACCTGATATTTTACAACAATTAGAAATATTTGTAATTGATAATAATCATCCAATGTGTTCGAATTTAATTAATAATATTGAAAGTCAATTTTGTGCAGGAGTTTATCAAGAAAGAAAAGGTTATGTATCTATTTGATATAATTTTTCAATTGAATAAATATTTTTATTCTTTGTTATAGGCCCATGCCAAGGTATATCGAGAAAACAAAAGAAATCATTTTCATTTTTAGTTAAATAAAGAAAGATGAATATAGGATTCACGGTGATTTTTTACCTCAGAATGATAGCTATATAACTTAGTATTGGCACGAACCCTTTTAGAATTTTTCTAGCCTTATCGAGACTTTTCTGTGAAGTCAATATTAACTCAAACGACGAGTATCAGTTCGAATAGTTACCTGATGAATAGAGGAAGACTTCAATTGCTTACTGCTGAGATATCAATAGAGGGTACTACCTGTTGATGTTTCAACAGTTTACTATAAAATGTGATAATCTACACAACACTAGATGAAGGGAGTCTTTCTCTCATAACCTATATATGTTCCATTTGTGAGTGAAAATCTTATAACCACTTTTCTCTTGAAGGAGATTCTGGTGGAGCAATACTTCAATGGACAGGACAATATTGGCAACAAATTGGTATCATATCTAGTGATTTTACGTGTGAAAATAGTAGTATTCCAAATATTTATACTCGTTTATCTTATTATCGATCTTGGATGGATGAAATTGTTAGTAAGACTGGTGAACATCTTGAACCAACTCATACAATGTCTAATACTACAACAATAACGACAACCATTTCATCATCATGGTACTACACCAATAGTACACAAACATCAATTGAAACAACACCAAATATGAATTGTTCTTTGAAATATCAATTGAACATGATTTTATTTAAAATAATCCTTTTCATTATATTTATTTTAATTAATTAAAATCAGTACCTATTTTATATTTCATTTGAATCTTTGAATATTCTAAGATATATTTTTAATAAATTTGTGATAAATAATTGATTAAAGAACTTAATGACATTGACACGACAAATCGAATCTGCACATTGCAATTATAATTATAATCAAAATAAGATTAAAACGCTGACTTAATATTCAATTTCATTCCCATCCTCACGTTTTTTTGAATTCGTTAAATGTCTAAGCAAAAAATCTGCATTATATATGAAATACTGTGACATCATGTGTTCTTCCTTATTTATCTTTCCTATACGCTTTTGGTAGGATGGAAAGAGTGACGTGTTTGTTTTCACCAAAACACTATTGTCGGTTATCTTTCGCGTTTCATTTCTGTTCTGTATTTGCCAACCATTATGTGAAGACTGGGTTATTAGACATGTGTTTCATACTATGTTAATCATCGATCGAGCATTTTTCCAACATGACACAACGTTGGGGAAAAAGCCGACTATCAATTTTCTCGAAGAGAAACCACAAGATATGACTGTTTTCAATTTTCTTACTTCTCACCGTCTCTATAGAAGTAACTTGTAACATTTTTTGTTCTTTTAATATTACATAGACAATATCATGACCTGTTTCGAAGATCTGTCGAATGAATTGATGTTTGAAGTTTTCGAATTTCTCGATGGATGTCATATATATGAGGCATTCAACAATCTTAATACTCGTCTCCAACTTCTTCTTGATAATTGTTCACTTCCGTTGAAACTTAATCTTTCCACACATAAGTCAACTTTTCAAAATCGTTGCATCGACATTGTTGGACCTAATTTGCACAAAATTTCGTCACTTCGTTTATCAAATCCTTTATTAATCGATTTTTTCCTTTCAACATTCACTATCAATTCATCTTTTTGTCGACTCAAAGCAATCATTTTGGATGGAATCAAATCAAGAAGTTTTACATCTCTTCTCGCCGATTTAGCCTCGCTACCCTATCTCGTCTACTTGTCCATTACAATCGTTGATTATTTTAGATTTCGTGACGATGTTTACCATCTCATATTTCGCTTGCCCAAGTTGAAGTATTGTAGATTGACATTTGAACTTAGTATGAAACGTCCTCCATTAACCATTGCTGAAAATGTGCGCAGCAATATTGAACATCTCAGTATCAATGGCGGTTGTCGTCTCGATGATCTTGGCGCCATTCTCTCTTACACGCCTCACCTACGTCGATTGTCATGTCGCCTATATGAAGACCGGCAAACACTAACAGAAGTATCGGTTGTACCACACAGTCTTACACATATCTCTTTTGAATTGTTCAATGTTTCATTTCAACAATTCCAATATATTATTCGTCAATTTTCTTCGCAGATACAAATACTGCGCATTAGATCACAAGACAATAATGACTACTTCAATGCTAGCCATTGGCAACACTTGATTTCAACCTACATGCCTAACTTACACACGTTTGATATTCAACATCGAACATCAATTTGGCAGGAACTCAATTGCCATACTCAATGTGAGGCATTGTTGGATAAGTTTGCCTCTATATTTTGGCTAGAACGACAATGGTCCTTTATGCATCAACATAACCAAGATACGTTCTCTGATGTCTTGTTTTATTCTATTCCTCATTCCAATCGGTAGCAGTTAACAAACTTGTGAATTGTGAGATGACTTTCTTTTTCATTGTAGAAGGAAGGACTATACGTTTCATGACGGGGAGCATACAAAGAGCGACTGTGGCGAGACAGCGGATCTTAATTTAAACCATCGACTTGCTATTCACATTCCTCAAGGTGTTGATGGCTGCTTGATGCCATATTCGCATGCAACTGAGCTCATTGTTTCAAAATATGATTCCCAATCACATTCGTGGTTTACTTTCGATCGTAATCATACGATTCCTTTAAGACAACGAACTCAACTTAACGTTCAGTATACAGATCTCAACATGGACAATCGAATGATCAGAAACGTGCTATGGGACTACAATGCAAATTCATCAACAAGTTTTAGAAACATAATACAGAACATCAATTCACTGTCGAGCAAACAAATGCAAACGATTTGTTTAGTGTTTAACAGCAACATTACCAAAGTGACTGTTTTATATTCCTGCACGCTTGACGAGATAAAAGTACTCGTCAGTCTCTGTTCTCGAATGGAATGTCTGCAGATTCCTGTGAATTATCAACTCGAATCAATCGTGCAATATATATTGGAAGACTGTTCTAGCAGCCGATGTTTCTCGCTATGTCTTCACAATGGAGACCATAATACGATCGTACGGTTACAAAAAATACTTTCTTGTGAAAAACGAATGAATTCCTGTGCGATTGTACGTTTTTATGATAAAGTGTATTTGTGGTGGTAGTGGATATGTGTGTGGGTGAAGAGGAATCCCATATCCACCCTTTTCAGGCTTTTGAAACAACATGTTATGCTTATGAGCCTACAATAATAAAAGAGTCATATAAGAGAAAAACAAGAATTTTATTTTTCACATTAATGGTACTAAAAAAATATAGGTATGTTTGCATCAAAATCATAGTTGTCGTTACTATGGCTCTAAAAACTGTTGTACTTTTTATCATTATCTAAACAATGGGTATATCATCCCTGTAATTAATTCGCTAATATTTAAAACAAATTTTGATTTAGCACATGTGTCAGAATACATTTTCAATGTTTATTCATTCTTTAGCTTTATTTTCAATACACAGTATAGTATTGAATACCAAAAATAAAGCTGTATATTTAAATACAGAAGGCTAATTTCAAATGCGATTCTTTGTGTCAAGAAATGTAGAAAAAATGAAGTGCTTGAAAGCTAATCCTACTCGCTTTTTTATATGTTAGACAAGTTGTAGTAAATAGAATTGATTAAAATTAGGAAACTTCGTGTACTACGTATGACACAAGGATTAATCTTATATATATCTAACACAATTGTATCAAATTCATTTCTAATTAATACATAAACATCTGGGGATTTTTATGCATGTCATATTGCTAAAATTTTTTAACATAAAATATCTCATTTGAAATCAGTCTTCTTTATCGAAATATGTAGTTTTAATTTCTCTATTCAATGGTATAGCTTATTTTCAAAATATAATAGATAAATATAAGAAATTTATTGTAATCTATTCTTTAAAATTAGATAAATAGAGCCTAAATATTCATAGTGAGTATGTGAACATCCAGAAGTGTTCGATCATTGTAATTTTCATTTAATATTCCATGGTAGGTCTGCGACTATAGAAGAAAGAGCATTTACTTTATTTATAAGTAATGTATATCGAGTTTTCAGCGTATACAAAGATGGTTCACACATTATGCTATCGAATAAATTTAAAGTTGAAGAAATCTCATTTGCGAACATGAAAAATGTTAATTTTAAGTAAAATAAAATTGTTTTAAATTTTCGGTTAATTTAAAGTTGACAATTTTACAAGTTTTGTATAAAACAATTGAATTTCATGGTTAATTTTTAAAGATTTGATCAATGAGAGCGCATGTCCGAAATAAATCGCTTTAAAAAATTTTAATGAAAAGTTATTTTATTTTAAGAAAAAGTAACTGTAATTTGCTGATGGTATGAGTTTTGTTCAATACAGATTATTTATCTTAATCGATCTGGTGAAATATATACATGACATCAGCTTTTAATCAAAGAAGCTTTTGATTGAGTTAAATTTGACGTGATATGCAGAAAGATGTAGAGATTATAAAGAGTGGCATCATGGCTTTTCTATGAATAGTAATTATCAAGTGTCATATCAAGTAAAATTATATGCATAAATTAACTTTTCTTGAAAATAATCTAAATCTTAAAATAAATTATTATTATTATCGCTTGAATGCAAGATGAGTTCTGTGAAAGAGAACTAAATATTTAGGATTGATATTGATTAGCTGATTGTTTTTCTTTTTTTTTGTTATTGATAAACTAATACTCGCAATGCATGAGCAAGGATTATCGATTTGGGTTCAGCTAAGCAGGGTTTTAATTAAAGTCAATGCGAGTTTTTAAAAGAAGTTTGATCATGATTTATAGTAGTAATTCAATTTTTATTGCGAATATAAGGTGAGTGTATGAGGATGTGTTTGTGAAGAGAAGCCGTTCATCAACAACCATATTTAAAAATCCGTCTTTTTTTGAACAGTATTGTTTTTGTATTTTTTATTTTTGTATAGAAATGCTTTGTACCTCAATTAATTTCTGTACATTCGATGCTTGATTCCATGTTATAATGACAATTGAATGAGATGTTCAAATTAGACATTCATAATAACAATTATGTATGACGAATTCTATAAATTGCAGTTAGTTAAAAGTGAAACTGAAGATATAAGTTTTATTGAAATTGTTATCAATAAAAGTTTTCGAAAATTTCAAAACTCAAAATTTGAAATTTTCAGTTATTTTTTTTGAAAATAATTTACGTCATAAAATGAGATTTTTTTTTTGAAAAAACGACCGAAACTGAATTTAACAGTATTTGAATTTTGAGTTTATGTTCACAAATGAGAAGATATGAAAAAGGCTACATAATTGTTGTTCACTGTATGTTGCTTTAAATTTTACAATTAACAATTTTCCACTCTAAATTCCAAATATTAGAGAGTTGTATAGTAAATACATTATAATTCTGATTATATTTCAACTTAGCTGACCTTTCTTGTATTCACTTTTTTTTCATAGAGAAAATTTTAGAAAAATTAAGATGAATCAATTTGCTTTATTGTATAAGTAAACAATAATTTTACAATCACAATATAGAACTAAATTTTTAATACGACAATAAATGATATTGATAGAGAAGTTATTTAGTTTTTGATTATTTTGTAAGAGAGTGCAGAGAATAATCAATTTATTATTGTAGGAATTTATTGATTCTCATTCCGAATTGTTTTTCACCAATCGTTGTTCCGATCATATAATCTTTTGTCATTGTATGATTTCTCGGATCCACTTTATTTAATTGTTTACCAAG